CCCCCCCCCCCCCCCCCCAAAAAAAAAGGAAAAATAGGAGATGCTGCAGACTACTGTAGCCATGGACACACGTACACAATTTTGTGAGATAGAGTAAAGGGGTGTTCATTTGTATATATTATGAAGAGATGATAAAAATGAATCTTGTTATCAGAGTACTAACTCAGCCATAAACCCCAAAAAAAAACAAAAAACAATAGCAACTGTACAAAATGAAATGACCAGGGGACTCTAGGCTACATTGCAACTATAAACATACCTTAGATGATCCATCCATGTAATTATAATACTGACTGAATTCATTTAAGCCAAGAAATTCTTCAATGGGCCATTGTGAGATGTTTCCAGCAGTATAACCCCCACCATAAGACACCCTATTTGGTGGAAACTCCTCGATTCCTCCCATTTGGAGTGGTAACACTTCATTCAAATTTGAATGCGGGGGAAGCGAGGAAACATTTCTGGAGATGGAAGGAGATTTAGCACCAGACATTTTCTCCCCAGATTGTGACTTCACAGAAGATGAAGAAGCACCACGCTCAGTAGCTTCAAGGCCAACTCTTACACCAGTAAGCAAAAACCTCTGATGACCAGAAACACAGGCATTTGCTGTGTGTATAGATACATCACAATTTCTACATAGCAAAGCCCGATCCTCTAAACAGAAGAAATAACCAACCATTTCCTGTAAGGAATAGCACACTTTAGCATCACAAGCTATCCAAAATAATGAAGACTCATAACATATTAACATATGTAACTGCCCCAGAACAAATAACAAAACAAGAAAGTCCTCACTCAGCCACAAATCCAACAACTGATTCAAACCACATATTTGGTTTCCCGAAATTCTCCAAATACAACAAAACACAAATATCTAGACAAGGACAATATTAAAAGGTAAACAAAATCAAAAGGCGTTCTCCCTAAAACAACAGAAGAAACTCAGTTCATCATAAAATCCTCAAAATGTCAAGTTGAAATCAAAGATAAAAGAACCCAGGAAAGTAAATGATTTTTTTCTTTCTCCAAATTTCAAAGTTCCAAAGAGAAAACTCAAATTTGAGACTAGATCTTCCATGAAGAGTTGAGCATCATATCTAAGAACGTCCTAAATAGACACTAATAATTGCACAACAGTCACTTAATCAACTCAACCAAAAAGTGAAACTTAATTGCATCATAAAGCTGAACAACATCAGGTCCACAAAATGCATAGGAAGCTCATATAGTGAAAAAAAGACCCCTGAAGCAGATAAATCAAATTTTAAGCCTTTTTTCAACACCAAATAATACCCACCAATATAATCCCCTAACTGCCAAGACAAAGCACCCTTAATTCCGTCACATACATTTAGCAGCACATCAATGAGAAGTCATCTCCAGAAACACTTTTAGTTCAGAAAAACAAGAAAAAAAATTCATCTATAAACTAAAATTAGTATTACTTTATAGATAAACTAATTTATATTCCATAAGTTTCTCCAAAAAAAATAATTTCACTGGCTTCTCAAAAATCTTATTTTTAACATGCCCACAAGCTCAAACTAACCGAAAAAGTTTATTCCCATTTTTCTTTTCATTTATTTTCTGCTAAAACCTTTAAGGAGAACTTTAACCGATAACAACGATATTCAGAGTGGCCTGATCCAGCCCCATGTTGCATAAGCACAAACTCAGCACACAGGTTACAGAAAAACAGAAACAAACGAACGAAAAACAACATTAACAAGCAACGTTACGGTACCTGACATATGTCACACTTGGGCATGTGGGAAGCAGATAGAGAGAGAGGCACTCTCTGGTGCTTGGTGGCGAGCTTGTTAGCGGCGTGAACCTTCTCATCGCATTCCCAGCACAGTGCGGCCTCGTCGGCGCAGCACAGAACCTTGGCCTCGGCGGCTTCACACACGTTGCACTGAATCTTCATGGCAAAGCAGGCTCCGAAAGATGTGTTGTGGAGAAGAAGAATTTGAAAGGTGGAGAGAGAGAGAAAGAGAAGTGTGAGAGAGAAGAGAAGTAAATGAAATGCGGATATTTTTGAAGGCCACGAAGATGGATGCCACGTAGCAAGGGACACCGCCTTGGCTGGCTTGGGACCGGACCGGTTTCCTCAGAATTAGTTGTGTCTAAATAATGTCTCTAACTTGAATAATTAATTACAGCAGGGAAATGTACCCTTAACTTGTGGAAACGGTACCATGTATGTAACATGATATTTGTACGCTCACCACCACCACTTAATTATACATCAACTATATGTTGAACCCTGAGTTTCACATGTAAATATCACATAAAAATTCTATGAAACCCTTGAAAATTTGAAGGGTTTTTGAAACTGTATTTGTTTTTTTTTTTAAATACATGAATATTTGATGTTTTAAAATAATTTGATAATATTTATTATTTTTAAAATTGTATATATATAATGTTTGAATTTATTAAAGATATCTTTTTATATATAATGAGTCATGATAAATTGAGATTTTTTATGTTTTGTATGTAAATTTTGAGAAAGAAATTGAATGAAAAATTCATAAAACCTTTCTCTACTTCAACAAATAAAATTTATGTGTTTTTTAAGTTATTTTGATTTTTATAAATGATTTAAAATATTTGGGTTAGTATTTAGTGAGAAAAAAGAATAAGTTAATTATTTAAATTATTTGTTTGTCAATAATACATCACTTAGTATAGAGGAAAAAGGTGAAAGTGAAAAGAAAAAAAAATGCACTTTTAGTTATTTTATTGGTTTTAAAAATTTATTGTACCAAAACATCTTAATTTAGAAGGGTACTATTGCAACTCCCATTTTTATTGTATTTTTAAAAAATTAAAATTATATTAAATTAATTGAGTTGTCAATTCGTATCTCTATATTTATTCAAAGATATTTAAGAATTATTAATATTTATTAAATTAATTGGTGTTAAGTTTAGTCATTAAACTTGAAGATTTTGAATTTAAATCTTAAATTTGTAAAAATAATTAATTTTAATATTATTTTTATTATTTAAAAATTTAGGTGTAAAATAGTCTAAAAATTGTGTATACAAAAATAGATAATTATTTTTATATATAGGTATAGATTATTATATTTAATAATTGTTAAAAAATTAAAATAGAAATATATAATAATTATATGCAAGATAAATACATATGTTTGTGACAAATTAAGAGAAAAAGTTAATATGTATTTTCTAGTTATTAAATTACCAATTTTAGTAAAAGTAAAAGTTAATAATGCTGAAAATAATATCCTGAAATTTAATAACTAGAAAATACATATTAACTTTTACTTTATAATTGTTTAGTTCTCTTTTTAGATAAATTTATAAATAATTCAATTAAGAAATTTAAAAAAACTTACATAATTCTTATAGTGTAAAATTCTTTTGTACATTTAGTAAATATATTTAACTCAAATTCTATTACATATTTTGTATATGAAATTTGATGATAAATTAACATATAAAATAAAGATAAAAAAATTAGAAAAAGAAAATTTAGAAAATAAAAGATGTTATTAATCATCAAATTATTTTTAATCATTTTTCTAAAGTCATACTCATTTCACAAATTTAATTATATAATAAATGACTTTAACTGTAATCAAACTTTTAAACTTTTATTTTTAAATTTAAAATAAATATTTATGATTAGCTCTTTTGTCATAAAAATAAAATGAATAACTAGTATAATACACCAATAAATATCATATTAAATCCTTTGTCATAAAAAAAATAGTATAATGATCATTAAATATCATAATGAGTGACAATATTTTATTTGATCTTATAATTTTAAGTATAAATTATAAATATAAATAAATATTTATTTCATTTTTAATTAGTAATAATTACATATTATTAATTATTTTCTATAACTATCATTTTAATTAAATTTAATCTCTTTAATTGTACATTGATGTAATTATTAATATATATATATATATATATATATACTAATTCAATATAATTTCAAATTATACGATACTGACAAGTATCAAAGTTTTAATATAAATTAATATAATTAATAATATTTATTTTTATTTATTATTTTCTATAATTGACATTTTAATTAAATTTAGTCTCTTAATTTAAAAATGTAATCAATAATATGTATATTTATATATATATATATATATATATAAAGCTTCAATTATCAGTTATTTTATACCGACTAGTTATAAAAATAATATTACTTAAGATAGTGATCACAATTATAATTTTATAAAAATTCAAATTTTAATTAAATAAAAATTTAAATAAAAAGATAATAGTTTAACTCTTTAAGAGAAAAAGGAATTTTAAAAAATGAGAGATGCAAGAAGTGAATAAAAGGAAAAAAAATAAGAAAATATAGAAGATTGTGAAACACATATTTTACAAAATATGTGAAAAAATAAATTTAATAGAAATTTCACAAAAGAAAGATCTTTATGACAATCAAAACAAAATATCAAAAAATTAATTTCACATAGAATGATATTTTTTCGCTAGTTTGCAAAATGAATTATCAAATATCAAATTATGTGAGAGGAAAAAAAAGTTAAAAATATAGTAAGAAAAAAAAATACCTTGTATACTTATGTTTGTATCATTAAAAATCATGACTATAGAGTCTCTATCGGATTTTTATGTAAAGGTGGGTTAAGTATGTCTTAAATTTTTAAAGGAAAAAGAATTAAAAAAAAAAAAGTGATGCGATAAGAGAATTAATAGAAAAAAAAATTGTGAAACATACACGTTTTGACAAAGGAAATGAAGAAAGCATCTTATATGAATCTTCTAAAATTTATTGATTTTCAGTCACAATGGAGGAGATGAGGTGTCATGATGTGAGATAGGGAAGGAGATGAAAAATATATAGGAGATAAAAAAAACTATACATATTCTAATGTGTCATGATATGAAATAATGGAGGAACAATCATTGCACATAGATAATGGAGGAGAAGTCGTTGGGATGGGGAGGAGCTAAGGGAAGGCAAAGACAACAAAGGAGTGGTCGTCACATATTTGAATTAATTCTTTTTTAAATATATAATTAATGTAGCAAAATTTATAAAAAAAAATTAAATTATAATTAAATATGTAAATTAAGAGATAAATTGTGAAAGTGTAACATATATTTGTTCATGAAGAAAATATTTATTTTAGCACAAGAAAGGAGGGTAATGTAATATTTGAATTTGTGAGAGGATGTTAATGTAAAAGGTGTTTTAGTAATAAAAAATTTGTAACAAAATTTAACTAATAATTTTAGAAAATGGTTTAAGTGTTATATATTAGAATATGTTAAAAGGAAAGAACTATAGTTTTTAACTCAAGAAGGGAGAGTCATGTAATATTCGTATTTTTCAAGGAACGGGAGTGTAATTTACTCTAATATTTAATATCATTATATTAAATGTTATAGACAAAGATTTACATGTAGAAATACATCATTACTACCATATTAAAGAGAATAAATTGATGATCTCATTTTAACCTTTCTGCAACCATAACTATTGTAGGGTAATCTGTCCATTCATCTATAAGTCTTTGATTGAACATGAGACACAATAGTATAATTCTCATCAAGTTCAATAATTCAATTTTCAATACCTAAGTAAATGTTCAAACATGGATAAGCCCAATATCTATTATCCCATTCCCCTATGGCCACACATATTCCTGTCTAGCTTTATTAAGAGACCCAAGGCACATCTTTTGTTATCTTCTATTAGTTAACTACCTTTATAACCATCCTATTGTGGATAACATTTGATAACATCAAAACCTATAACTCCTACATGCAAGAATCATAGTGACTTCAAGGCAAAAGACTACTCTATTATGGTCACCATGAGAAATACTTATGACACTTACATAACATATTATGAAGCCTTCTCATAATAAGTCCATCTAGTATAAGTATTTACCTCCAATATTCATACATATATATATGTTTGACTTGATATCTTTATATCCATAACCTATGAGATGTGATCAATCAATTCATACAATAATGATAGGAATCTATCAAGGTCTAATATTTTAAAATATGATTTTCAATTGATGGAAGGTCCAAAGATTAGAAGGGGATCAAAAAGAGTTAAAAATAATAAATTGTAGAGCCCAATTAGCCCAACACTAATTACTAAAAATGCTACAATAGATAAGACTCTATTTGGGAGGTTTACTTAGCTTTTAGGCTTAAAAGTTATTTAAGCCTATTTTCTTATTTTTATTGTAATTTTAATGTTTTATTTTAATTAAAGGAGTTCAAATGGCTTTTCATATTGCATAAGTCAATTTTGAGTGTTGCTAGGCTTCCTAGTGGAAAATAAATGTTAGTGGGAATCAGTGAGATATCATTTCCTAGTAGAGCTTAGTGGAAAGTTACTATATATAAGTGAGAGGTTGTTTATCTTAATTTATAAATACGAGCATCTTGTAAACATCCAAATAAGATTTGAATATTAATCATATTTTGAGTTTCTCATTGTGAGAGCTTTTTCCTTTGTTCTTGGATAAGAACTTGATAGTGTTGGTTCTATTGGTAGGTCGTGGTTAGGGTCACACTTCTTTTATTGAAAACTTTGGTTCTAACGATGGGTCGCAGTTAGAGTCAAGTTCCCTTTATTTTCTTTACTTTTTTTCAAGACGGCCCTACATTAAAAAAAATTGTATCATTTGGTATCATAACTTCGGCTCTTGAATTAGGTGTTATTTATCCTTTACCCTTTTACTTTCTTTAATCCAAAAAATGGATGTTGATCTCAATTTGTTGATGAAGGAGTTTCAAACACAAATCCAACTCCTAAATGCAAAATTAGACAATCTTAAATCTAGATATAGAAATCCCAAGAAACACACTTATAAAAAAGAGTTTTCAAATAGACACAGCCAAAGGAGAAAAAAAAAGAGTGTGAGAAATCAAAAGAAAATGAGAATGACAGAATAAAAGAAATAGAGATGAGAAAAAATCAGTTGAAAGAGAAAGAGAGAGAGGAAGAAAAAGAATGCAAAGTTTTATGTTCTAACTCTTTGTTTACAAGTAATGATTCTCTATTGAAGGGTTTTGGTGAAGTTGTTCCAAAGAAGGAATGCAAAACATCAA